AGCACTCTAACAAAAACTTTGCTCGTAATGCTGCTAAAAAAATAAGAAGGAAACCAAACATGCGAAGGCATAAGTTTCTGAAATTCAAGCTGTTCGGGTTTAAAAGGTAAAACTGCAATGATGTAGCACTACATTAACCCACTCTAACCCATCAGCCAAACTGTGTATACATTTGAATGCTAAGAAATCATTACATAAACCTTAGAATATGAAATATGCCTAAGCTACAATAAATTAGGATACACCCTATGTCTATCACATTAAAGCTATAAGAATCATATTGATTATTCAAAATAATGCATTCGTTCCGTGCTGTACCAAAGGAATGGTTGCATATGTTTTAAATCAAGAAAAATGACAAAACAATAATGTGATATTATGTTCGGTCCTTACTTTTAACTCTAGCTTGTGGAAAAGATAGAGTTACCAAACCAGAGAACCGGAATCCTTACTTTTTATTACACATGCCTTACAAAGAAGGTTTAGTTTACACATTTTGCCCAAGAAACTTGTCTAGTGAAGTTTAGAGTCGATCAGAGATCGCCATTAAAAACAGCATTACATAAACCTCTAATAACTAAGCTTTACATTTTAGATTTATACAACTAAAATATTCTTTATCACATAAAAAATACCACTATTTTAACTTTTAAAAAGTGAAATACACCTTTTTCATACATAGGTAAGGTTGCAAATATGTAAAAATTAAAGTTTACCTGTTCGACATGTAAATATACAAGAATTGAGTGGTATGCATGCAAATCTTCCAAAATAATAATAAAAAGACAACCCTCAACAACCAAGCAAAGCCGAAGGCTATAGAGGTTAAATCAAATGTAAGTTAAATGAAAAAGGTGCTTAAAATGTAATTGTTGAAGTTTTAAGTGGTTAAAATATTATATTTAAAGTTTTGGGCGGTTAAAATGTAATATTTAAAGTTTGGATGGTTTTTATGTAAAAAACCCCTTAACAAGGCAAATTTCCCATCAAACCAAAAAGTTCAAGTTGGCTGTGAATTAACACAAGCATTCGAGCTACATTCACTGAACAAATCATAGGGAGCGAGATAATAGATATATAATTTATTAAACCCCATTACATGATTTAAAAATATTTAAGCATTTCTCCCTGCAAAACTATTGAATTCTAAAACAAATAGCAAAACAATTAACCAAAATCTAGCAGAATTTATAAGTTTTGCTGAAACTAGATTTATTAGATCCTAATTGTGGCCAAATAATCCCATTAGAATAATTTATACCTCCGGTTTTTGGGAATCCAAAGAGGTGAGTGGAGCCGAAATGGCGAGGATCGACGCAATAGACTGGGAGAAGAGCGTTGGAAGCAGCCCAGCCCTGGAGAAGGGCATCGTTGTCAAGTACACGGAGATCGTTCCTGAACCAAACGATCGCCACGCCATCTCCCGGCCGCTTTGCGCCGGCGAAGCAGTGCCTTGCGAAGATCTCTGAAGCGGCCGCGGAGATCTCGTCGGCGGTGAGGCCAGGAACAGGCTGGACCGCCGGCAATCGTACGGCGCTGGAGGATGAGAAAGATGGTGACGAAGCTGAGCACATTGCGCTTAGGGTTTTTGGAAAGCCGAGTTTGGAAGGGAAGAAGGATGGTTGAGAAAACAGTGAAGATGGAGCTCGCATTGTAGGTTCTCGACTGGGAGGGAGAGTGCGGTAATGAAGGTGAAGCGAGGTTCCACGTGGCTGTCATTGGAGATATTTACGTGGCGATTTAAAGGCCGTGGATTAAGAAAAGTGTGATGTTTTAACCAATTTTTGGGGGCATTTACATGGTTGCAACTAGGGGTGTAAACGAGCCAACTCGTGTTCGGCTCGTTTATATTTCGAGCTCAAAAAATGTGTTCGTGTTCAGCTCGCTAGTTGTTCACGAACAAAGTGTCATTTTGACAATCCTAATCACGTAACCATAAAATGTTAAGAATTGGGGTAAGATGTAAAACATCATTTGAATCTAATTTAATAATTTTTATTATATTTTCTTCAATAATACTTTTAATTGATTATAAATCTTTGCAGCATTGTAGTCAATTAATTTTTTAAAAAATACTACCTAACACATATATATATATATATATATATATATATATAATTGATTGGTATTATTTCGAGTTGTCGAACATGAACGAACAAACATTTATTTGTGTTGTTCGTGTTCGGCTCGTTAACTTAGCGAACGAGCCGAACACGAGCTTCTTAACGAGCTGAATACAAGCTGTTCGCGTACAATGAGCCTTTTTGACAGCCCTAGTTATAACCCAATTTTTAATGTATTAATATATTAACCACCAAAATTTTATCTATTATCTTAAGATCACCAGATTTTTATGTTTTCAACATAATTAAATTGCTGAATACAATAATGTCCGAAAAGTACACCAAAAAAATGGAATGTTCTATTAGGAAGTAGTTAAGAGAGAGAGAGCACTAGTGGACAACAAAATGTATTTTTTATTCATAATATGAACCCTTATTTATAGGCTTATGTCTTAATATTATAAAAGTAATTATTAGTCCTCCTCATTATTAACTTTTTTAGGGGATTTTTTCGGTAATTATAGAGTTATTTGCATATAATAAAATCGGGAATCGATTTGATTGATGATGGTTGTCAATTGTCTGACAAACCTTGGTTTGGTCGATATATAGTCCGAAAGAGTACTCCCCGTCGATCATCTTGAAGGATGGTTATCGCCCTAAGGGATTTTCTCTTGGCATCTTATTTCGATCGTTCGGATAAGGAACTTTCTTCGCCAATACTGACCTGGAAACGATTATCGTCCATGCTTACACTCAATCATTCACATCTTCTTCCCGAGCCGTTCATTCGCTTTGATATTTGTGCTGACACAGCTTTATGTGTACATAGATAATTTTGTGGCCATCCTTAGAAGTCTATTGCACTTTCTAAAAAAAAATAATTATGCGTACATAAATAATTATGTGGCATATATGTAAAACATCCAAAATATCACTATTTTAATGTTTAAGGAGTGAAATGAACATTTTCATGTACACACAAGATGACATATATGTAAAAATTGAAGTTTTGGTGTTACATGTATAATTTCATAAGAATTTAGGGGTATATATGTTAATCTTCATAAGTATATATGTTATAAAAACTGAAGTTTACATATTTAGCACATAATTCTCTTGTATTTACATTTCTCCTAACTAAATCATCATATAAATATGAAAGTTTAGGTGTGTCCATCTGTGAGATAAGTAAATACATGAGAATTGTGTGCTAATATGTAAATTTCCCTAAATAAAAATGGGCGGTCTACCTTATCCGAGAGGTGGGGCCAGATCGCAGTTCTATTCCAATCAAAATCTTGATTTTGGTAGCTCTGGATATTTCTATGATAATGGCATCTCAAAGACAACAAAATAAATAGTTAAATGAAAATCAATAATTAAATAAAAAAATTAAATAAAAATTCACAATAAGCAGCTTTTAGGAGTTCAAATATTTTGTTTAATTAATTTATATCTGATTAAAAATGTACAGGAAAAAAACAGAAATAATGTTCATTTGAAAATAAACATATAAAATAAAAAAAAATAGTAAAATAAAATAAAATCAATTAATGTCACGAGCCAAAATGCAAAAATGTTTCAATTAATAGTTAATGCCTATCCTGAAAGCAGAAACCGAAACCCTTTCGAAGTCCAATCATGGCGGCTTCCTCCATCTCTCCGTTTCACTCATTCTTTAAGCCTGCAAATCGGCCTTCTATCTCTACCTCGCACCATCGACGGCGGCTCTTTGCCCCCCTCGACGGCTGTTCTTAGCCGTCCGATCTTCCAACGCCGCGCAGCCCGCGGTGGCCGGCCCGGATGAGCTCGTCTCCTCCATTCTTTCCAAGGTCTCACTCTCCCCCTCCCTCTCTCTCTCACTCTATAGCAGTGCGTGGTCTCCAGACTTAGGGTTTCTTTTTCTTTCAAATAATCCACATTTTAGTTTTAATTTGCATTTGAATATTACTTAATCGGTCTCCATGTGTGATTTGTTATTGAAAGCTGCTTCAACATCATCATGATAGAAAATTACATCAATTATTTTGAGATTTTGAACAAAAGTTCAGCTTAGTAACATCATTTGAAGAACATGACGCTTTTACTCAAGATTTTAGGGTTATGTTTGAGTGCGAATAAAATCAATTTCGATAGAATTTAGTAAATCCGATCAATTATAGTTTTAGCAAACCCTAAACCTTGAAAACTTGGCATGTTGCTAAGAAGGTTTAAGGTATGCCACAATTCTTTCATGCGATATCATTGATCCATAAAAATGCACAAGGGTGGACAAGGGAGATTTCAATTTCAATTTCCTACAAATTGGGAATGTAATGAATGTGAAGCTAACTAAGGGTCTGTTTGAGGCAGCTGCGGTTTATTAAAGAGTAGTTGTGAAACTACTGAAAAATAATCTAACGTTTGAAAAGCTGTGGTAAAAAAAGTCAGACTACAACCGCAGTTAGAAGGCTGCCAACACACATAGGTAGGACCAGTGAGAAAACGCAGATTTTAGCGGCAATTTTTTGAAAAAAACGTCATAACGTAGTTTACTTATACAGACAAAACTGCATTGTTGTGCCACACTGTCGCCTCAAACGGGCCCTAAATATAATAATTGAGCATTTATTCTTTTACATTTATTCTTGGGAAATTTACATACATAGACCACCAACTAGAAATAATGTTCATTTGAAAATAAACATATAAAATTAAAAAAATAAAATAAAATAAAATTGATTAATGTCACGCGCCAAAATGCAAAAAAATTTCAATTAATAGTTGATACCTATCCTGACAGCAGAAACCGAAACCCTTCGGAAGTGCAATCATGGCGGCTTCCTCTCTCTCTCCGTTTCCTTCATCCTTTAAGCCTGAAAATCGGCCTTCTTTCTTACTATCTCTACCTCGCACCATCGACGGCGGTTCTTAGCCGTCCGATCTTCCATCTCCGCACAGCCCGCGGTGGCCGGCCCGGATGAGCTCGTCTCCTCCATTCTTTCCAAGGTCTCACTCTCCCCCTCCCTCTCTCTCTCACTCTATAGCAGTGCGTGGTCTCCAGACTTAGGGTTTCTTTTTCTTTCAAATAATCCACATTTTAGTTTTAATTTGCATTTGAATATTACTTAATCGGTCTCCATGTGTGATTTGTTATTGAAAGCTGCTTCAACATCATCATGATAGAAAATTACATCAATTATTTTGAGATTTTGAACAAAAGTTCAGCTTAATAATATCATTTGAAGAACATGACGCTTTTACTCAAGATTTTAGGGTTATGTTTGAGTGCGAATAAAATTAATTCCGATAGGATTTAGTAAATCCGGTCAATTATAGTTTTAACAAACCCTAAACCTTGAAAACTTGGCATGTTGCTAAGAAGGTTTAAGGCATGCCACAATTCTTTCATTGCGATATCATTGATCTATAAAAATGCACAAGGGTGGACAAGGGAGATTTCAATTTCAATTTCCTACAAATTGGGAATGTAATGAATGTGAAGCTAGCAAAGGGTCTATTCGGGGCAGCTGCAGCTTATTAAAATATAGTTGTGAAGCTGTTAAAACATAATCTTATGTTTAAAAAGCAGCAGTGGCAATTACAAATTATTATTATTTTTTTTGGAAAATTCACATTACAACTAGAAAGTTGTCACCGCACTTAGCGAGTGGGAAAGTGCAGATTTCAGCGGCAGTTTTTTGAAAAAACTGTCAAAAAATGCAGTTTACTCAAACAAATAAAACTTTAGTGCGGTACCGCACTGCCACTGCACCGTCGCCTCAAACAAACCTTGAATATAATAATTGAGCATTTATTCTTGGGGTATTTACATACATATACCACCGACTTTCTATGAATTTAAATATCTAACATCTAAACTTTGCTTTTTTTTATGTTTATGCCACCAAAATATTTCATATCGCATAAAATACCACCATTTTAACTTATAAGAAGTGAAATACACATTTTCACGCATAAGTAAGGTGATATGTAAGCATAAATTGAATTTTATATGTTTGAGATGTAAATACGTAGGAATTGAGTGGCATGTATGCAAATCTTCCTCTGTTCTTACATGCTCTCATAAAATGGGGCCCTATGCATAATCATTCAATCAACATGAAATGATAATCAGAATCCAAATTTTTTTATTTGTGAATAAATAATATGATTCACACAAAGTAGTCCCACCTATATTATTCAAGGGTTGCAGATCAAATAAAAAAAATTTATGTGCAATCTTTGCATGATTTTTTTTTATGCAAATTGCATTTTTAAAAATTGCTTTTTAGACCAAACTGTGTTTTATTGATGAATAGATGTAATTATACAATGGTTGTAGGTTAAGGGGACAGATCGAGGAGTTCTGCTTTCAAAAGATGGACATAGAGAGGTATCTGATGTTGCACAAAAGCTGCAGAAGTATTGTGTTAGTGAGCCTGTTAAATGTCCTTTGATATTTGGAGGTAAACTTTACACCAAGTTTTGCATGCATGCCTCTCAATTCCTATGTATTTACAAATTTAGCACCTAAACTTGATTTTTTTTACATTTATACCACCTAAATAGTTCTTGTCACATAAAAACATTCCGCACTTTTAAGT